GATCGAGCCCTACATCAGGCTCCCTGCTCAGCGGGAGGCCTGCTTCTCCCTCTCCCACTCCCCCTGCTTGTGTTCCCTCCCTCGCTGTGTCTCTCTCTGTCAAATAAAAAATAAAAAAATAAATAATAAAAAAATTTTAAAAAAATAAGGGGGAGGCAGGAGGGTGAGAGTGAAAGGAGATGCAACAACAGAAAGAAAGGACAGAGTGAGGCAGGTCAGGAGCCAAGGAAACTTCAGAAGCTGGAAAACTTAAGAAACCAGATTCTTGCCTACGGTCTCCAGAATGAACACAGCCCTATGGAACCCTCGTCAGATCTCTGACCTCAAGAACTTGTCAGATAATAAATTTGTATGTTTTCAAGTCACTAAGTTTATGGTAACATGCTGCAGCAGCAATAGGAAAGTAATGAGTGGTTGCAATGTCAAATTTTAGAATTTTGGCCACTCTGTCTCTTATGGGGGTAGACTGTGGGGTCTCTCAGTCTCAGCTTTTCAAGATGGTGTTATTTTGTCTCTTCTCTTCTTATGTAAACCTTCTCTGCTACCCTTGTTTTCTAAGTAACATCCTCGCTGTATAATGCCTGTGGGTTTAGGCTGGTGTGATGGCTGGTCTAGCATGAATCACTTACCCAATTGACCTGGTCTCTTCGTATCTCTTAGGTCAAATTTTAGAGAGCTCTGATGGTCCTACTTGGGCTACATGAACAACCCAGATCCAGTTATCTATGGCCTGCAGAGTACAAATTGTCATCACCTGGTGAAAAGCTACTCTGTCTTCCATGTCACAGTGGTAGATAATCCCGCACTCTCCAGATGCAAGGAGTCCCTCCATCTCTATCTCCTCCCTTTCTCTATCTTTAGCCCCCAGTTTGCTTACAATGGTGGTGGTAGGGAGAGAAGGGCAGCTTTTTTATTTAGAGTAATCGATTTTTGTGTGGGATGTTAATGTCAGTGCCTTAGGCAGGGTGTGTAGACAAAAACAGTTCAAAATTCTGTGCTCTGAACTCAAAGAAAACCCTGCCCCTCCCCTTTAGGTGATCTCATCCCATCTTGTATGAAGACTAAATACCGGCAGGATTCTGTTATCCTTAGAAGGAACAGAATAATTTATACAGATTAAGCCTCAGGACCATCCCTGAGGATTTACCAGATTCTTATCCCCTATTCATTCAAATATAGGCATGTCCCTTAAATACATCTCAATCAATCCAAATGCCTTCATACAACTAATCTGACCAACGAGAATCCATTTTAAATAATCCATTGTCTGAGCAAAATGCCAATTTCATCAACTAAAACCCTGTGATATTGTGATAAAATAAGAAACACATATTTGGTCTTCATCCATGGTTCCTGGCACACAGTTTCTAAAATTGTTGTAATTATTTTTGTAATTTTTTTAAAAAGATTTTATTTATTTATTTGACAGAGTGAGACACAGTGAGAGAGGGAGCACAAGCAGGGGGAGTGGGAGAGGGAGAAGCAGACCCCCTGCTGAGCAGGGAGCCCTATATGGGGCTCGATCCCAGGACCCTGAGATCATGACCTGAGCAGAAGATGCTTAAGGACTGAGCCACCCAGGCACCCCGCTCATTGTAATTTCTTAAGTGAAAAGTGATAGAAGCATCTTTTGTTACATTTGGCCTTCTGTGCTCCTGAAACAGCTCTTAAAGGAGCTGAGTTTGTTATTCATAATAAAAAGGCCCTTTTGACCACACCTAAATGTATATTAATGAGGCAATTTTTGAATGCCCCTCCTTGGGGTGCCTGGGTGGCTCAGTTGGTTAAGTGTCTGCCTTCGGCTCAGGTCATGATCCCAGGGTCCTGGAATTGAGCCCCCGCATTGGGCCCCCTGCTCAGTGGGAAGCCTGCTTCTCCCTCTCCCTCTGCCTGCCGCTCTGCCTACTTGTCCTTGCGCTCTGTCAAATAAGTAAATAAAATCTTAAAAAAAAAAAAAAGGAAAACCCCTCCTTGATAACCACAGAATGGGGGCTGGTTGCCATGGGAACCAACAAGGTAACCAGAAACTTGGAACTTTCAGCCCCATCCCTTAACCTCACAGGAGGGCAGGGCTGGAGATTGAATTCAATCACCAATGAGTGGTCAATGATTTAATCAATGGTGCCTACATAATGATGCCTCCATACTGAGCATGGAAGCTCTGTGCACCCTGTCCCATACATTGCTCTATCCATCTTTTCCTGAGTTGTACCCTTTATTATAAATGGATAATACTAAGTGCTTTCCTGAGTTTTGTGAGCCATTTTAGCATATTATGGAACCCAAGGCAGAGGCTATGGAAACCCTCGATTTGCAACCAAATCAGACAGAAGCTGTGGGTAACCTGAAGATCCACTACTTGAGACTGGTGTCTGAGGAGGGGCAGCAGTCTTATGGGACTGAGCTCTTAACCTGTGCAATCTGACACTAACTCGAGGAAGTGTTGGAACTGAACTGTAGGACACCCAATTGGTGCAGAGAACTGCGAGAATTGCTTGTTGTGGGGAAAAAATACACATATTTGGGGGCTAGAAGCGTTCTGAGGGTAGTAGAGAGAAGCAGAATTTTCCGTTAGTTGGAATTTTTCTTTTAAAACCATTCTGCTATAATGAGCTGTCCCATTTTAAATTTTCTATTTTTCTAACCATTACTTTCCTGTAAATTGGGAATACCGTGATGCCTGGTAATGTCAATGTATACTGTATACTTTTAGCACAATGATAGTATCACTGCATAATAAACACAATGTTTGCCATCTAATTTGATACCATAATCCACACTGTACTGTGCCTTAAATGCATGACATCTGAAGTCTACGTTTCTTATTTTGACTGAATATGAACTGGTTAAAATAATAAATAAAATGTCAGAGTAGGGCGGTACACACAGCACTCTGAATGCTGTGGAATAAAAGCTGCATCACTGAAACTGGAGTGAGCTGAGCAGAGTGACAACCAGTCAGCTCTGCAGCTGAAGGGTGAAAGCCACAGAAATATGTTAACAAATAAGCACAGCTGTATTCCAATAAAACTTTATTTATAGATACTGAAATATGAATTTCATATCATTCTTGTACGTCACAAATTACTCTTTTGATTTTTTCAAGTATTTAAAAATGTAAAAACCATTCTTAGCTTTTAAACTGTACAAGAAATGGCGGTGAGGTGGATTTGGCCCCAGTGTCATAATTTGAGGACCCCTGATTTAGACTATCATATGAATATCATACCCTAGACACAGGTTGAAGTATAGTAAATTTTCATTACACATGGTAGTATTGTTCTGTAAAGCCACTGGGAACACTGAATTCGTGACTACTGTACTAATGCAGGAGGCAAAGGAGGCTTGGGCAAGTCAATCAAAGTAAAGCCATTTTGGTTTTTAGGCTGACCCTTAACCTAAAAGTCAGCAGGTCATAAAAAGAGTCATGAGATCCAACTCATTGAAGACCACAAGACCCCACTCCCTCTGACAGTAAAAGTCATAAAAGCTGGACATTCTTAAAATTGCTCCCTGTGGGTAATTCCACAACCCAAAGACACTGGAAAAACCAACCACCCAATGTAAGTGATAAACCCAAAGTTAAAGAGTAAGCCCCTCCTATCCAGTTAGCTAATTTTAAAAAAATTTATAAAACCCTTCATTAGAGGGGCACCAGGGTGGCTCAGTTGTTAAGTGTCTGCCTTCAGCTCAGGTTGTGATCCAAGGGTCCTAGGATCGAGCCCCGCATCGGGCTCCCTGCTCCACGGGAAACCTGCTTCTCCTACTCCCCCTGCTTGTGTTCCTGCTCTCGCTATCTCTCTGTCAAATAAATAAATAAAATCTTAAAAAAAAAAAAAAAACCTTCATTAGAGGCAAAGGGGGGGGTCCTCTTCCTCACCTGGGAGGACAGAACAACTTTGTCTGTGAAGCAGCTCCTTTCTTACTTTTATATATTTAATAAATCCTTGTCCCTTTCTCCAAATGGCTTGTTCTTGAATTCTTTTTTGTGCAAAGCCAAGAACCCTCTTGGAGAGGGGCCTGAGGCCCTCTCGGGGCCTTGCCCATCCAGCATCAATACAGTTATTCCTAAAGGAAACACAGGGTTAGGTTCCTGTAAGCCTGTGTTCGTAACATTTTCATCAACCAATCAAGACATAATCTTGTCCTATGTGTGTGTTTCTGTTTAAAGACATCTTATTTAATATATATCGCTGATTCATTAACACTGAACTCCTGGCCAATAGCACTATAACTCATGCTTGAACAAAACTTATCGAACATACATATTCTCTCTGTGAGACCACCATACCTTTCTTACACTTAGTGTTTGGGGGCCATTTTAAACAGAGAAATCATCAATAAAAAAAAAAAAAAATGAGGAAAACATGGCACTAAATAGACCGTGAGAAAGATACTTATTTACAGTACGCGAAGTGAAACAAAAAGGCAGAGCGTCACCTCATTTGATCTCAGCTGAGTGTGAGCATTGGACAGTTTGGGTTTTTTTGTTGTTTTTTCAAGTAGACTCCATACCCAGTGTGGAACTTGAACTCAGGACCCTGAGATCAAGAGTCACATACCAGCCAGGCGCCCCACCATTCGTATTTTTGGCTGCTCTGAGCATGCATGCATGTCTGCTAATACCAGAAAAAGCATCATGAGGATATTACAAATGCCTTTTAGTGAGTAGATGAACCCACAAATATGAATCTGTGAATAATGTGGATCAGCTGTATTTTAAGTAAAATAACTATCAGATAGGTGAGAGTTAAGGATGAGGAAGAAAATAATTCATTTCAAAATTTATACTTGGTTGCAACTATAATTTTAAATGGGAACCATAGTTTTTAATTTGGACTCCAAAATAGACCATTTTGTATTTGAAAACTCAAGCACAACTGAAGCTTTTATAATAAAACTTTGAGAGTTTCTTACCTGTAGCAACACATAGGATAAATTTTAAATAGCATGGAATATGAAACTGCAAATTCTTTCAGAGTATTTTTAATACTCCTTACCCTCAGAAGCATCCATCACTCAAAGATGATCCAGGAAGCTTGAGGTTATAATTAGAAGAAATTCCTCAAATTATTTGTGCTATGGTTGGAACATGCAGAAATGCAGCTGCAATGAAAAGAATATGGTTAGGTATATTTCACAATCCATATTTTTAAGTTTCCCTGGAGAGCTACAATTTAGCCAGAAGACAAAAATCAGAGCTAAATTAAATTCAGTGCTGCCTTCACAACCAAGGCAAAACAAATGTAAATTGCCTTTTTAGGGATACAAAGAGAAAGAAGCACACCTGTGATATTTTCTCAAAATGGAAAAGATAGAAACTGGGCACTTTCCAAGAGGCCTCTTTTTCATGAAATTCTTGGCCCTCTGGAGTTAGCAGAGATTCTCAAGGATAGAAATTTCTTTTCGTTACCTTAGGTAGAATAACTCAGTGACTGTTTTCTTGGAGCACTTTTAGTTTTATTTCAGGTCTGTCCTTTAATGCTTTTGTTGCCAAACACCCAGAAGTCCATTTTATTAAATGAAACCAGCAGTACAGGACCAGGCAACTAAAGGTAAGGCTACTTTGTAAAACTTACCAAAATACAAGGCGGTCAAGAAGGCAGTCAGTGGTAGAACACTAGGGGCCAAGGTTCTCTCAGCACCTATTTCTTTGGGATAGTGTGTCAGTATCTCCCTCATGCTCAAGTTACAGCAAAGCAAAAAGTTACTGTTCTAAGAACTAGGCAAGGCCTCTGTATGAACACACTTTGATTTAGTGGATTCCTGGGGATTTTGCTGCCATATCTCAGCTGGTAACTTTTTCTTTCTCTTGTGATATTGGCCAAGCCTTGGGGTTCCTAGAGATGGGAATCAACCAGGATCAAAATGCTTTTATGTATTGCTCCTAATTGAGATCGTGGAAGGTCTTAGGTGAAACAGATATGAAGGCTAGGCTTCATATCTGTGGGGGTGTGGGGGTGGAGAACTATGGGGAGAGAGGACCCTCTGTGGGGCCAGTTTCTTACTCAGGGGCAATCCCTGAAGCTATCTTAAAAGAAAAACTTGAAAAAAAAGTATCTTCTGTATCTCCACTGTGTTGCAATATCGTGAAACTAATATGTGCATGTCAACTATGCTTCACTTAAAAATGTTTAAAAAAAAAAACTCCAAAAAATACATTCAATAATATTTTCCCTTTGGTAGCATAAGCAGCATAAAGGAATTTGTTACAGCATCCAAAGAAAACTAAGATACCTACTAGACATTATATGTTTTACCTAACAATAAGTTCCAAAATAACACTGCAATATTAATAAGAGAATACAATTACTGAATAAAGTTAAAAATTTTCTTTTCTTTTTTTTTTTTTAAAGATTTTATTTATTTATTTTAGAGAGAGAGAATGAGAGAGAGCATGAGAGGGAGGAGGGTCAGAGGGAGAAGCAGGCTCCCCGCCGAGCAGGGAGCCCGATGCAGGACTCGATCCCGGGACTCCAGGATCATGACCTGAGCCGAAGGCAGTCACTTAACCAACGGAGCCACCCAGGCGCCCCAAGTTAAAAATTTTCTAATAATTCCTTTTGCTTTTAGACTACAGTCCACTAATGATCCTCAAGTAAATTTGTTCACCAAATCGCTCCCTCTCTGTGGCAGTGTCCGTCCTTATCTGATGAGGTTTCAGTTTGCTTTGTTTCTTGGCATTATAGGAGTGTGATTAGTTCAAAGCTCTTACAAGGTGGCTTTCTTTTATGGCTGTCTGCTGCAGCCAGGACAGAGAAGGGCCTACTGTACTTTTTTTTTTAATTTTTTTTTTAAAGATTTTATTTATTTATTTGAGGGAGAGAGAATGAGAGCGAGCGAGTACATGAGACGGGGGAGGGTCAGAGGGAGAAGCAGACTCCCTGCCAAGCAGGGAGCCCAATGCGGGACTCGATCCCGGGACTCCAGGATCATGACCTGAGCCGAAGGCAGTCGCTTAACCAACTGAGCCACCCAGGCGCCCGGGTCTACTGTACTTTGAGATGATGTAAAACACGCAAAAAAACTCTGTCTCCAGAATCTGCAAAACAATCTTATTTCATAATTATGTGATCTATGTACATTTTTTAATGACGGACTACATAGTTATAAATACATGATTCATATGCATACTCTCTGGCTGAATAAGCTAATTCTTCACCTATTATTTAATTTCTAGGAGTAGTAAAATCAATGTACTTTTATATAGTCATTATTTTAAAAAATTTGCTAAGTACTATCCTGATCTTCCAAGCTTTTTAAATTTAATTGCTTTTTCCAAGCCATATTACAAATCTTGTAATATTAAGATCCATCCCTATACCACCTTAATGTTATGTATTATCATACCACGGTTTACAGGTCTAAAAGGATTCCCCCAATTAAAGATTAAGAGTACACCTGTTGTGATGAGCACTGAAAAATGGATAGAATTTTTTTTTTCTTTTTTTAATTTTTTTATCAGAGAGAGAGCTAGAGCACAAGCAGGGGGAATGGTAGGCAGAGGGAGAAGCAGGCTCCCTACTGAGCAGGGAGCCCAATGTGGGACTCAACCCCAGGACCCTGAGATCATGACCTGATTCAAAGGCAGATGCTTAACCAACTGAGCCACCCAGGCATCCCGAACAGAATTGCTGAATCACTATATTGTATGCCTGAAACCAATATAACACTGTATGTTAATTATACTGGAATTAAAATTTTAAAAAATATGTGGATACAGAAACATCTTAAACAATAAAAGAATTATACAAACGTAAAATAATTTGACCAATATCATGAAAATACAAAACATGACAAACAATAAAATAAAATAAAGGATTCCCCCAATTAGCATTAGCCTGACCCTAGTTACTAGTTTTTCACTTTCTTAGATTATACCTGGTATCTTTGTCTTTCATATGATTACAAAGAATACATGGAAATTCAGGGCACCTGGGTGGCTCAGTCAGTTAAGGGTCTGCCTTCGGCTCAGGTCATGATCCCAGGGTCCTGGGATTGAGCCCCGCATTGGGCTCCCTGCTCCTTGGGGAGCCTGCTTCTCCCTCTCCCACTCCCCCTGCTTGTGTTCCCTCTCTCGCTGTGTCTCTATCAAATAAATAAATAAAATCTTAAAAAAAAAAAATGCATGTAAATTCAGTCCTTAGGTTTTGCTTGAAATGTTCATGGATGAAAATTCGTATGTATGAATACATTAAAAACATATATGAATATAAATTCTTATTGTACTTGTTGAAACACAGTACAGAAATCTAAAATTTCAGAAATATCTATGGTTTTATTACTTCACAAATTCAAATGTCCCAAAGCTAATATTGATTCCACGAAATTCGGTATTTAAAAATATAAGGAAAACAATAATTAGAAAAATATCCATTATTACAACTTTAAACTATATTCATAAGGTTCAAATGGAAAACTTTCTATGGATTCCTATAATTTCCAGATAATCTGTGTCCTGGTAGAATCAGCTCATAAAAGAAGAGAGCATCAATAATGATGGCCTATTGTAACTAGTCTCATGTTTTATGTCACATTTGCATATTTAGCTTTAAGACAGGAACCTAAATTCTTGCATGGATTCATAGGTCATTACCTGAAATCTTAAATTTTGCATTCTGTGGTAACTTCACTTATCACCCAGGGGAAAAACAAACAACATTCTTTGTTTCTAAGATCTGAGTTCCTACTGCTTTTGGTGCTTAATGTGGTATTGAAGCAATTTAAAAGGTGATTCTCAAAAATAGATAGATAGATAGACAGATAGATAGATAGACAGATAGATAGATAGATAGATAGATAGATAGATAGATAGATAGATAAATATTCCTGGAATCCTCAGAGGAGGAACCTATGAAGACATGTGGATGAATTAAGCACAGGTGGAAAATAGAGAAATTATGGAGGTTCATTTGGGCCCTCATTTTTTCCACTTTTCCCCAGAAACAATTTCCCCACTATGGTCTAGGAGAACTGGCTGTACCTCTTCTGAGATGTGAAGGTTTGGTTTTTAGTTCTTGAGTACTTCTAAAGGTACCTTAGCAAGGCTTGCTCTCCAAGAGGTTTGGAAACCTCTCCTGCGTTATCTGTGAAGGTGGCAATCAAGGATTTTGCTTTTAAATCTTCCCACCTGTGACATCTGGCCCAGATAGGACTCTTCAGGTTTTCTTACAATGCTTCCAGGGAAAACTTGGGTTGTTTGGTTATGCCAGTTCCATCTCCTAACACATGTTTGAGCACTGGTATCATGGTAGAATATAAATTGATCCAGGAGGGAGTTTCCTTTCCTAACTCTTGGGCTGAGACACACTGATAAAAAAGTGAATCTGGCCTAGAGACAAAAATAAGGCCCACCTGGAGGAAAGAAAAAAAAATACTCCCTTTCAAGAGAGGAGGAAGGGTGTCACAGACAAATAGACTATGGTCTCCATCTGAAAAAAAAACAAAAAAGATTTCCTGAACTCTGTAGGGTCCAAGACAGAGCTCTGCCAGTCCCTCAGCAGCAGAGGAGGGAGAAGCATCCAGCAGGAAGTTGTCAAGGGATCTTTACAGTGTGTGTGTGTCCTCTTGTTCCCATCCACTACCCACCTCCCCTAATCTTAGGCTCTGGAAGTGCTCCTGACTATGACAAACTGCTGGGGAAATAAGATCAAAGACCACAGACTTGGGATTTCTGAACCATGACTTGCTATTTACTAAAAAATCTGCCTGGAGAAAGAAATGAGAGGAATATTTACCAGCTTGAAGTCAGGTGACTAATTCACCTCAGTTCATAATGTATCAGTTTTCTTTATTCATGAGTATTTTCTAAGATCCCAGCCACCTTCAGCTCTACCAGAAATTATTTTGAGATATGGGAGGAAGGACCTTGTATTTTCTTTTTTTTTTTTTTAAAGATTTTATTTATTTATTCGAGAGAGAGAGAGAGAGCACATTGGGGGGGAGGGTCAGAGGGAGAAGCAGACTCCCTGCTGAGCAGGGAGCCCGATGCGGGACTCGATCCCGGGACTCCAGGATCATGACCTGAGCCAAAGGCAGTCGCTTAACCAACTGAGCCACCCAGGCGCCCGGACCTTGTATTTTCAAATAAATTTACATACATTTTCAAAGCAATTCAAAATGTCTGAAAACAGGAAAGCAATAGGAAACAAGGTAAACTATCCCTTGAAAAAAGATGTTAAATGTACATTTAGAAATCGAGGGGAATCCAAGTAAACAAGGTAAAGCATGCTCATGGAAAGAAGATTCACCTACTGGAAAAGGGAGTCACAGCATTCCTTTATTTCTTACTTTCAGAAAGTGACAAACTTCTTTGAGTAAAATGGGGGGAAGAGGGCTGATTTCCTTCATCCCATTATGAGAAAAATATATGAATCAGTACCCAATGATACATGTGGCGAGACAACTTGTTCGAGATAGCCAAAATTTTTCTCAAATTCTCTTTCCTCTTTTTGTGTAATACAACCAGCACACACATTTCTGCCTTTCCTTCCCTGATTGTACATGTTCCGAAAGGTCAATTCTTGTTATCTGGGGTAGTTATATTCTATAAAATTACCACAAACTCTGAATTAGTCAACACTAAACCATTGCTCCTAGAGAATTTACAGGGGTACATTTCTGTGAGCCTCTTGTCACATTTTTGTCAACCCATCAATACAATATATTGTTGATTCATTAATGGTAAACTCATGGCCAACAGCATCGTAATTCATGCCTGAATGAAGTTTATTTAGGTATTACTTTCTCCTTAAAGAACACCACAGGATTCTTGTGCCTAGGTAAACTAGACAGCACTTCAGCGTGACAACACTTGGAGGCCATTTTAAATAGCAAAATCACCAACAAAAAGCCCTTGAATGAGAAAAAACATGGCACTAGACCATGAAAAGGACACTTGGTTATTATACAGTCTGACAGCTGAAACAAGCCACAGTGTTGCCCTGCTTGACCTATCTGGGAACACATACCTCGAATGACTCAAATTTTTTGGCACTCCATGTTTGTCCAAGAATGACATCAAAAGCCCTGTACTGATTTGGAGGTTACAAATAAATTTTAGCATGTAGGCAAATTGGCAAATACAAAGTCTGAGAATAATGAGGATTTACTGTATGGAGGCTTCAATTCCTTCACTGTGATTAGAAAGATAGTTACCTCAATAGGGCAGTCACGAACCAGGACTGGGAAGTCAGGAAAAGAGAACCAGGTCCCAAGAGCTACCTTTAAATACCCGGTGAGGTGACAACCAAAATGGCTAAGATTTAATAGACATTATTCAAAAAATGACTAATTCTGCTTTAGTTTTTTCTTTATTGTAAAACACGAGATGGGATACAGGGCCTCTCAAAAATGAGCTTCATATTCCAACTCAATGAAAACTTGTAATTTATAATCTTTTCAAATGACATAAATATCCCAACCACACATTAGTTTTATCATCCTTTCAAATCAAACAAACAAAAAACTGGATCCACAATTTGTATTACCTGTTAGTTTTTCCATCTACCATAGTCTAAACCCATTAGAATACTTAATCCTTCCAAATAAAGAAGTTTATAAAATCACCTCCATAACAGATAGCTGCCCTTCAGTTTTTCTTCCTTTGACTAAAACAAACTTAATGCTTAAGATTTTCCACTTTGGGCTCTATCAGTACTTAGTGCTATACTCTAGTCCAGTCTTTTTTTTTTTTTTCAGTCTTAAGATACAGAAAAAGGAATGTACCCTTCTTGTATTCTTTCAGAGCAGGGCTGAAAGGCAGTATCACCTACCATATTAGGTACTTCCTTTAAGGATTACTCTACTGCATGTATCTCAAGTCCATTTTTTAAAAGTCACACATTAACTCATCATCATTGTGTGTTCCATTAGAATAAGATTTCTCAACCAGGAATTACCAGAAAGCCTCGGGGCATGGGAAGGGAGGCTCATCAACCAAGGCACCCATGTTCTGAGTCCCAGGATTTTTCTGAAAAGAAAACCATAGCCTTAGCAGACGTGCAAACGGGTCTATGATCCTCCACATCTCCAAAATTTTAAGAATCACCTCACTGTATTCTCTTTAAAAAACTTTAATGTATGAGATTGGTCAGTATAATTCGACATCATTCAGTATCTAATCCTTTTTTCCAAAGTTCTGGCACCTCTACCAAGTTGTAATTTTATAAGCAGAACAAGGCACTTTGATTCTACTTTTGTATTTTTAAGATACAATTAAACATATATTTCTAGCACTTAAAGGATTTTAAGTATTGTCAAATATATTTGGATTATATTTTAACCCATAGTACTTTACACAGTTCATGGTTTTAAAGATAAATTAAATCAAATCTGAATTTCTAAACCTAAATATATTGTGATAATGACACTGGCAATTGTTTCAAAATTAATGGAAAGCATGTCATTTTTTTGAAATGAACTTGGCGTAAAAGGCAGCAAAGAGGTCCTTATAAGGAGTGCCTGAATCTGACTTGGTCAACGGTATTCGGCAAAGTTGACGAAACCGAGGAGAGCGCAGCAGCAAGTTCTGTGAAAGGCCCATGAGGCTGGAGCACAACCAGTAGAGCACAATCGACTAGAAAGAGAAGAAAGGACATGAATGTTAGTACTTCTCAACTCTGCAAGGACACTGACGTCCAGAGACGGGTAGGCAGTACAAGAGAAAATGACAACGTGGGGAAGCAACCGTGGACAGGGACTGAACAAGACCTGTGGCAGCTATCTGATACCTGTGACGATTCTACTAGGTAAGAAAGAAGGCTAAAAGGACTAAAAAGTGAAAAGAAAGCCAAGAGGAGAGGTATTCATGATAGCAAGTGGATGACAGAGAGCAGCGCCCAGGCAGAGGCTCAAGAGAGATCTCCCCTCCCCTCTTTGGCAAGTAAGCACCCTTTTTCCCCATCAAGAGGCCTGACAAGCTGCTATACTGGAGTTGGGGTACTGGGGGCACAGCCATTTAGGCTCCCTAGACCCCGTTTTCCTCTATATAGTGATCTATCACCCCAAATTTTCCCAGTAACTGGTTTCTTAGGAATGAATTATCTTTGCCTTTTTCAGAGATGAACAGTCTCAGCATTATCTTCAACTTTCTTTTGTACTTCCATTCAGAGTGATTTATTTAGGTTGACTAAGTTCTATAGCCTTTTGAAATATTCCCACAGTTGGGAGTTGCAAACTTTTCTTTGGCATCAGAATGTGATCAGGCCCCAGAGGCATGAGCCTGTGGTGGTTGAGTCCAGGCCCTGGAGCTGAACTGCCTGAATGTGAATTCCATTTATTTGACTGCAGGGAAGTTATTTTCCTTCTGTTTCAGTCTCCTCATCTATAAAATGGGGACTGAACTATACCTGCCTCAGAAGGCTGCTGTGAGGAAAAAGGGAGATAACTCACACAGACTGGTAAGCACAGTAGGTGGCCTATATTAAGCACTTGGATTTGTTCCAAAGCAAATTTTTCGGGGCAGAAAGTACCACATCCTCAGAGCAGATTAGCATAGTAGTTACGGGCAGGAGCTAAACTGCCTGGATGGGTCTTAGATAATTGAGTGATATTACATGTCGCTTAATGGATGAGTGACCTTGGATAAGCTACTTACCCTCTCTGTGTCTGTTTCCTCATCACTAAAGTGGAGACTGTAATAGCACCTACTTCAGTGCACACTGGATGAATTATATGAGCTAATACATGTAAACCTTTTAAAACAGTGCCTGGCACGAAGTCAATATTGATTATTAGCCATCATCATCATTTGACTCATCCAGTACGAAAAAAGTACTCTGAAACCAACTATGGTAGACTATGAACTGCCTAAGAATAATTCTTCTTCCTTAGTAGTAAAATTCTCATTTTAATCTGGGTATACTGCCATCAGGGAGAAAAAAAAAAAAAAGGACTAATTCCCAGTCTCTTCTGCAACCAAGTGTCGCCCAGATAACTAGGATGTTAGCACAAGTGTTTGGTGTGACATCTGTCAAGGCTCCTTAAAGGAGCCTTGAAGTACCCTTTTACCATTCCTGCAAGATAAGTTCCAGCAGCCACCATGACCAAACTGTGGCCTTAAGGACAGAAATTACAGGCAGTGGATGGTGGAACATAATGAGAGAAGCAGGCTGCGTTCCTCATGTATCTTCATGGAGCTGCCACATCAGCTCTACATTAAACTGCCTAACTCGGAATTTCCTATATTTGAGAGAATAAACTTGGGGTATTTAAGACATTGCTTTTGAGATCTCTGATATTCACTTTAAACCCAATCCCTCACTGAAAATTCACTGCTCCTATTTCATTTGATCAGGGAGTTTCCTGATAATATATAAACTGGTATTATTTCTCCCCAGAAATGCAGTGAATCTGCACTGTTCTATTTTCACATGAAAAGTACTATAATAAGCACTTGATGCTACTTTATTAGTTCTCACAGACATTATGAGGTCTACTTCAGAAATGTGGAAACTGACTTATTTTACACAGGATTAGTGACAGTATTAGACCAAGAGACAGCTTTAAAAAATACATTTTTGATGCTGAAAATGCACTGTTTCAGATTCCTAAGACAATGAAGTACTTTGATATATGCTAATGAACCCTATCTATCCCCAGTAAATGAATTCGACTTCATGGTCAAGGTGTTGGCCCTGAGCAGAGAGAGATAATACCTAAGACAGCTTTTGCCCTCTTTGCACTAAGTATCATTGGGAAATAAGCAAAAGGCTAAAAATGTGAAATAACTGCAAACATAACTATTTTTTTTCTATTTCTATCAAAGTGTATTGACATATAAATGGAGGCAGGTGTACCTACCTCACTGAATTGTTGAGGTTAAATAATATCACATATGATCCCATATGGACTTGGCACAAAGTTTTGTTTCTTTTTTAAGAGCTAAATTCCTTGGCCCAGTCTATGCAGACAGAAGGAATTCAGTATTTCAACTAATCAAACAGAACAAATACTGTTTAAAGCACTGTGCAAGATTTAAAAAGAAAGAAAGAAAGAAAAAGGAGTTTGAGAGTTAACTCACATTCACACAAAGGAAGATTAACTAATCCCCAAAAATATGAAGTGTCACTTGGTGATATTAATTACTACAGAAACTCGGAAACCAATAAGGGACTTAGCAGTCAAAGGAAGCTCAACAGAAGACACAGAATCCTAGCCAGTCTAAGCACAGAGAAGATTTAGCACATGCTACACACAATGTGGGTGCTTACTCACTGAAGGTATGGTTGCAGCAACTGGAATCATCAACACTGATACCGCACGAACAAAGTATGTAATATATATCTGAAAACGAGACATTCCAATTTTTTGCAGAGCAAAAATCTGAGAGGGTAGAATAATAAATACACACAATAATTATTGAGCATATTAAATCAGACAAGCTTTAAAATACAATTTGTTTTTGACTGGCCTCCACCTATATTTTAATAGAAGCAAAAAAATTAAAACATTGATAAATGTAGAGTTGACGATCTATGTTTCTGAAAAATTTAATAATTATGCAGAATTATTAAATGGAGCTTTAATCAATAGCAATAAAGGGGATTCAGCTATATTAAAGAGCATAATTTTTACAAGTCAATGTTTTTTAAAGATTGTAAGACTGAAAGTCCTTTCAAGATAGGTGCTATGTATGAATCGTTACCCTTGTTTTGGTACTTAAACACAGTGGCTGGCATAAAGAAGGATCGTAATAGGAATCTCAAAGGTTTGTGATCTGGCTATATGGAATAAGGGGAAGAACCAGGTTAGGAAAAGCAGTTATGACTTATAAATAACTTATTTAAGAGATAGAATAATGAAATGATTTTGAGCACAGACTCCAGGTCCAAACTACCTAGATTCACATGGCAGCCCTGCATTTAATAGTTATGCGATTTTGTGTAAGTTACTTAACCTTTCTGTGTCTTGCTTTCTCTACTTTAATATGGGTATAATATTAGTACCTATATCACAGGATTAGTCTAAGAATTAAATGAGTTAACTCACATAAATTGTTTAAAATAGTGCCTGGCACATGGTGTATATTGTGTAAGAATAAGTTTTTTTTTAAAAATAGTTTATTTATTTACTTGTCAGAGAGAGAGAGAGAGACAGACAGCAAGCACTCACACAAGCAGGGGGAGTGGCAAGCAGAGGGAGAAGCAGACTCCCCACCGAGTAAGGAGCCGGATGCAGGACTCGATCCCTGGACCCTGGGATCATGACCTGAGCCAAAGGCAGATGCTGAACCGACTGAGCCACCCAGGCGTCCCAAGAATAAGTTTTTATTAAACTTACGTATACTGGGTTGTTAGTTGGTACAAGGAAAGACTAGAAGACTGACATTAATTCACTGTGACCTTGTGCTGATCATTTTCTTCATTCTAACAAATATTCACTAAGTACCAACCACATTCAATGGTGCTAGGTGACCTTAGGGAAACACACTTAAGACTACACATGGAGTCTTTTCTCAAGAAACCCTAACCCAAAACATTAGAGTATCATCTTCATTCTTCTCATTTGAAAAAATAAAGGGTTTGAGGCACCTGGGTGGCTCAGTCAGTTAAGCATCTGCCTTTGGCTCAGGTCGTGATCCCGGAGTCCTGGGATGGAGCCCCACGTCGGGGTCTGCTTCTCCCTCTCACTCTGCCGCTCCCCCTGCTTGTGCTCTCTCTCTCTCTCTCAAATAAATAAAGAAAATCTTAAAAAAAAAAATAAATAAGGGGTGTATTTGATTTCTGAAACAGAGACCAGTGATGGGTCTCTGAGATGAGGTTCTAAGGATCTTTTCTAAGGTTTCTTCTAGTTCAAAGAGTCTATGGTCTACTCAACTGAGAATAGCTCCTTATACAATTAAAGGCTTGCTTCCCCTAAACTGTTGAGTAACACAGCATGGGATAATGGTAAGACATAGTTGACAGATCATGTTTTATATGTATGTGTTTTTCTACTCCATCACATGAAGTACTGACTTTTCTAGGGTCATACAGCTAAAAAAAAAAAAAAAAAAAAGTCAGATACTATGTTTCCTACTTGCAAATTTACATTTTAAACATATACACAAAATACCAATCTAATGTGAGAATAAAACCAGACTGCTTAACCATTTTAATTACTGTCTTTACCAAAAACAAATCACAAAATTGTGTGTATTAGATTCATGTAACTGTAAAGCTGAAAGAGACTTTAGAAGTGTTCTAATTCAGCTCTTCCATTTTAATTTTGAGCATTCTGGCCCCCAGAGAGGTTAAGGAACTGGCCTAAGACTTGCCAACAGCTGATCTATGACCAGAAACCAAGGAATCTCAATTATGGCTCAAAGCTAGAATATCACTACCAACTCAAACACATTTATATTTGATGTTGGAACAGCAACAAAAATCCCAATAATTTAAATGGCAAACAAATCTCATTTAAAACCACTGACCTCCACTATTAATAAATTGACGATACCAACGGAGATAGGCAGAATCCAAGTAGAATCCAGTGCAGTGAGGTCAGGAAACCACAGGATTCCATCAGTAGCTAACTGTTCCTGAACAGAAAAACCTGCTAAGACAGTTTTATAAATAAAACATAGCAGAAGGAAACATACAACACATTAGTAGTCTAAATCAAATAAGGTGTCCTTCACACTAAAGACTTGCATTGGTTTTATTCACTTTCAATCCACAACATAAATTAGTTTTCCTGTACTGAGAAAGAAGAAGCTCTCTGTAGCAAACAGATGTAGGAGCATAAAGATACATAGCAGTACTCTTTTCAAACTTATATTTATATAACTATTTGTCCATAGGCTACTTTCTTTCAAGTCTGTTCAGATATTTTCTGGTTGGAAATGCCTTTAAGCAAATGCTTTAGTTTATAGTTTCTTAATAAATGTTTACATTTATAACTGTGAATGCTTTTCTGGTCCCTTAATTTTATAAATGGAAAAAATTCTTGGCCAGGAAACTGAATCATGGAATTGTAACACGAATTTTATTATGACTTCCATGAAGAAGTATAATTGACCGTTAAACAACTCAGGGCTTAAGGGTGCAGACCCTCTGAGCAGTTGAAAATCTGTGTACGGGGCGCATGGCTGGTTCAGTGGTAAAGCGGGTGACTCTTGATCTCAAGGTTGTGAGTCCACGCCCCACATTGGGTATGAGATTACTTAAAAATAAAATCTTTTTTTTTTTTTTTTTAAGATTTTATTTTTTTGACAGAGAGAGACACAGTGAGAGGGAACACAAGCAGGGGGAGAGGGGGAGTGGGAGAGGGAGAAACAGGCTTCTGGTAGAGCAGGGAGCCCGATGCGGGGCTTGATCCCAGGACCCTGGGATCATGACCTGAGCTGAAGGGATGCTTAATGACTGAGTCACCCAGGAGCCCCTTAAAAATAAAATCTTAAAAAAAACCCTCTGCATAACTTTTGACTCTCCAAGAACTACAGAAAGCCTATTGTTGTCTGGAAGCCTCATCAATAGCATTTATATGCTGTAAGTATCATATACTGTATTCTTACAAGAAAGCTAAAGAAAAGTAAATGTTATTAAGAAAATCATAATGAGAGGCACCTGGGTGGCTCAGTCGGTTAAGTGTTTGACTCCTGATTTTGGCTCAAGTCATGATCTCAGGGTTGTGAGATCCAGCCCTGGGTGGGGCTCTGCGCTCAGCGGGGAGTCCGCTTGAGGTTCTGTCTTTCCCTATCCTTCTGCCCCCCCAAATTAAAAAAAAAAAATCATAATGAAGAGAAAATACGTTTACAGTGTGGGACTGTAAAAAATATACCTGTAAGTGGACCTGCCCAGTTCAAATCTGTGTTGTTCAAGGGTCAACTGTATTACTGTTGTCCTTCTTACATTCATGTTTTCTCAACACGGCTAGTTTGCTTACACTTAATATTTTAAAATCTATATTCTTGTAAGAAAGATGGTAAAAACATTCTAATTATGAAAAGCATAGGGATTTTTTTTTTTTTTGCCTTTTTTTTTTTTCTTTAGAGTACAAAGACAATGTTAGATAACTTATTTGGGGGAAACAGACTTCTATAATAACTACCTTCTGAATGTGTTGCCCCTGTGCTAAAATTCCGGAGAGCAACAGACATGAAGATCCACATGGGAAACTGAATCCAGACCAAAACAGTGGCTTTGAAAGGGTGGCAGTTATCCCGAACATACAGCTCTGAAACAAGCCTCCGCATATTCTTTAGATAAGTGAGCCTAGTTTGAGGGAAGGGGGGAAAAAGGGAAAGGAGAAAATATTATTTGACTATTAATAGTGCTTCATACCTGTAGCACAAACACACCCATGTTGTGGTTATTAGCTAAAATTTTGTGTCGGATTTTTAGTTGTCATAGATTTTACTAAAGGGTTGCCTTACAAAAGGCAAAAAAGTCTAGCATGTACACAAATTACATAGCAATTTGATAAATCTGACATTATCAAACTACAAGCTTTGGCTCTGGTGGTCTTTGGCTAATTAGGTTTTAATAAGCGAAATTTTACTACTGGCATGGTATAACTACAGTTTGTATCAAAAATTCTAGAGGTGAAAGCAAATTTAACTCAAATCCCTCCATTCCAGCCAAGCTCAATTACTTGATCCCTGAATATACTTTTTGTAGCAATGTGGTTTTGTAATATGTATGCTCTTGACCTATCAAAATGGTTTACATCCTTCAGCCAACTCTTTTATGAAGATTTTCTTAATCTGTTTCTCTGTTAACCTTATTCGTTATTCCCGTTCTCGTCTTAAGTCCCACTTTCCATAGGCCCCTTGAAGATCAAGTGTTGGATCTTACTCATCTTTAAATCTCCTGTAGCATGTCTTTTACAATGTAGACATCCAAGGCACTTGAAGCCAATAGAATTATAGTGTATTATTGCACTAAGACAGTACACAGACATTCCAGGCTTTATAATTTAGAGTCTGCCTACTCTTCCAACTTTATCTCTTGTTACTCTTCTACAGACACCTGTATATTTGGTGCCTACACGCACAGGCTACCCAATAAATCAGACTTCTACATCAGCATGCTTTTGGAAGTCATTAAGTCAAGCTTTGCGCAGTGGCAGTATCATAGCCAATGAGGTTTATCCGAGGCGTGATTGTTGCTAATTGGAAGTCATTAAGTCATCTGTGTGGACAGTCCACTTACCTGGCTGTCCACCTGACAAACTCTCTTTAACCCTACAAGACTCAGTTCCATTGAAAATCCAAGAAACTCTTAGATGTGTCTTCCTAGAAAGTCATCTATCTGTGCAAGGATGTGTCTGGACAATCATCCTGCCAATGCTGCATAAACAAGGTACCAGTCGTGTCTAGGCTGCATTTATAATTCAGATGAGCAGCTTACTAATCTGTTCTTTTGGCCTGGAGTTGTCACTCTTAGATTTCTCTGATCAGTAAAACTTCAAAACTGTTAAGTTTGTCAACTTTTATTTTATTAAGTGAAGATATTAAGCTACCATAATGATTTTTTTAAATGTCAGATCTTTTTAACATTAAAGAGAAAAGCAATTTCATATTGAAGAGAGTTGGCACATTTATACACATATAGGTAAAAATATACAATAACCATATATATATTATATATACATAATATAAAGCCCTTATTTTTCTCATTGCTGTGAACCGGTGAACACTTAGTCACAGCCTGGTAAGGATTATAATTTGACTAAGTACTAACTTAGGCTGATTGAAGCAGGAGGACTTAGACGTTCCCAATGGATGACTACAGACACAGAACTGCAGCATGCATGGTCAAGCACCTTCTAAGGGCTTTCGAAGAGCCCAGACAGACAACTACACAGGGTAACCACAGTGGACAGACAGCACCTTGGCTATCTACTTTCTTCTACCAGAGCATTCACATTTTCTACCTCCCCTTTCTTATGGGCTGCTGTACCCTTCTTTCCAAAATGGTCAAGTGTGTAAATAATCTGTATCATTTACTGACTAAAATCCCAACAGAGTGGCACAGTATCTTCATCCATGAAGCCTTCCCTGACTTTCCACTATGACTGAACTCCTTGTACATAACCTTTTTTATAGTACTTAATTTAGTCATTATTTGATTACAGGTCTTTTTTCAGGACGCTGGAGTCCCTCAAGAAGGAACTTGCTCTGTTTCTCCATTTCTTGCTTTCACTATACAAAAACTCATACCACACAAACTTATTAAAATATTAAGGAGTGGAAGGACTACTTTGCTGCTAAAGCTATAGAACACCCAAACCTATAATTAATATAATCACTTATGCAGTATATATTCATTCATATATATATAGTCTATATTCATAGAATTAGCTTACCTGGCAACTCTTTTGGACCATCTCAACTGATTTGCACGAACTGCAACTTCTTGGTTAAGATGCCTTGCAATGTTTTTTATTTCTGGCTGTAAATTTTCCACCTAGCTAAAGAAAAAGTAGAATTTGTTACGAGCACATAAAGGATCTTTATTCATAACCACTCATAATTTTACCCTCTATTCTTCTAACTCACTGAAAAATGTGGTTTACTGATCATCTCAAAAAAATTTAAGTCTAAGGATAAGGTGTTAAATTTGCGTAAGATATCTTCAGTTACAACCAAATTCGAATTCCAGCTTATACTCTTAGCTATGTGATCCTGGGCAAGTTACTTAAGTTCTAAAACCCTGTTCCCTCATATATAAAATGTTTAATAGCACCTACTTCACAGAATTCTTATAAGGATTAAATAAGAACTGAACCCTATACTTTAGTGTTTCATCCTTGGACTTCTGAGTAATGGTAACTGAAAAAACAGAAGTCTATTATTAATTAAGTTTTTAATATGCTCTCTGACAGCCACAGAGTCACAAAAAGTTTGCATTTATTTCTGCTCTGTGGGAATTCTTTCTGTAAAGTACCTCACTGCCTCAATGGTGATGATTCCCTTTGTTTCTGGGTCCCCCATCCCCTATAATAATCTGAAAACATGGAAACCATTATTTTTGAAGTCTCACATTTGAATAATATTTTAACCCATATTATCTGATTTGATCTCTTAACATTGTGAAGTAGGCCTGGACGGTATTACTATACCGATTCCACAGAAGAGATAGAAGCACTGAAGTCCAAGTGGCTGCGACTTACCAGAGTTGTAGGTGGTACAGCCTGAAGAAGGAAATCAAGTTTGCAAATGGCTAGCTCAGCAGTTTTTTTCTAGTAAGAAAGATGAATTGGAATACTTGGGGACAAAAGATGCTGCAGACATACAGACTGTTACAGTCTTTAAGACAGCAGTTTTACAGGTTTCTCCATACAACAACTCTGCTACCGCTTCCTTTATTTCTCTTTCTCTAACAGCAAGCTTAGTAACCACTTGGGCTTTGAGCACAAACCCAGTAGGGTAAACGAAATGACAAGTCCATGTGTCACCAAACATCTCTTAATTCACATATCCAGTGCTAGTTAAATTTCTTAGCAAGAAAGTGGTCACGATGATTTACACTAGGCACTCCGGAAGCACCCGGCGATTTTAGCCCCCGGTAGACGTCTACCACACCTCACCGCCAAAGCGGATGCGCAGGGTGCTGGTGCCCCTCACCTTGGCCAGAATGTAGTGTTGGTAGGCGGCCAGGGGTAGCGTGACGGCGCCGCGGAGGGCCACGGTGGTGAGACCGATGCAGGCCCACCAGGGCAGACCTGTGGCGGTGTGCACGCCCAGGAGCACCTCCTCCGTGCCATGCACCGGCGCCGACGTGGCCAGGGCCTCGTACCAGCTGCCAGGGCCGCCGGAGCCAACTGCAGAGACTGACGCCACCGCCCACACCGGCAGAGCAGAGTGCTTAACGCCGCCCGTTGAGGCTGGCGCAAGCGGCCGGTCCCGGGCCCCATGCTGCAGTGCAGGCAGCGGCCTCAGCCACCTACCGCCCAGCCGGCACAGCATGTCTGCGCCAGGGCTGAGCCAAACCACGGACCTCACAGATTACTGTGGGCTCCGCTCTGCCAGGGAAGCCACGCGCACGCGCCCGTAACCCCAGGCGAAAAGTCGGCACGCGCCTTCCCTCGGGCACTATTGACCTTCCCAGTCAAGGCAGTGCTGTCTGGCGTCGCACTGGCGATGACGCAGTTGCTAGGAAAGTCCCGCCTTTCCCACGCGGCACGGGGCAGGCCTACAGCGCAGACACGAAACTTCCCCGCTGCGGGCCTGGAGCTCCTCAGAGGCCGGACCGGAATTGCAGAGCTAGGGGCGGGGCTTGCTGCCTCGCACCCGACTGGGCGGTCTCTAGAAGCTCTCGCCTTTTTAAGTCGGTCTTAAGCGTGTGCCTTTGCATTCCTCTACTTCAAACTAGTCGTTTGATTTGTAGTGGATTAAACTGGGTAGGTGGTTTTTGTGACCAGAAGGTAGTCCCCCACCTCTTTACGTGCAATCGGATTGCTTCTGCTGGAGACTGAAATGGATTACACTGCCAAAGAATCAACACGTTGCTGAACTGCCAGGTTGGAGAAAGGCATGCGTTTCTGGCTGACCTGAGTTTTAATGAGCATCCATTATGCAGTAGGCATAGTTCAATCTGTGGTATAAAGATTTAATTGGCTCATCTGTTCAGTTAACATTTTTAAACCCAACTGCAAACTGAGTGTCCTGCAGTGTTTCATCTTCCAATATAAAGAGCAAAACTCCAGGGTACTATGCCATCTTCTTACTTGAGGCGTTATCACTGGTAGGGAGGTCAATTCTTCACTAGAGATTACATGTATCCTATATAAAGGTTCAAGAGCCTGAACAGTAACATTAAGCGTCTTCGGCTTAAAAAGAATACGCCAAATCTATACGGACTAGTTTTGACTTCTGTGTTCCTGGCAACAGTATACAAACTGGAATGGAGTGAAGGAGTTTAATTACGTAAGGGTCAGCCCTAAACCTAGAGCCCAAATTGTGTTGTGCGGAATAAAATGCTGGTTAAAACAAGCCTCCGGCAAATGTTGGGATAATGCTAAATTGCAACTATGGTTCTTGTTTCATTACGCACCTACACGAATTTTGAAATGTGTTTAAACACACATATCCCAATTTACGCTATACAGTGCTGTTCCTTTTTAAAAGAAAAAACGTACAAATCTATCTCCCTATGCATTTGTTAAGTTAAAAAAAAAAGCAACCAGGGCGCCTGTGTGGCTCACAGCGGATCCGGTGGAGGTCCTGGGATGGAGCCCCCGCTTAGGCTCCGTGCTCAGTGGGGAGTCTGCTTGAGGATTCGCTTTCCTTCTCCCTTTGCTCCTCCCCCAACTCACATTCTCTCTTTCAAATAAATGAATAAATCTTTAAAAAATATTTAAAAAAAGCAAAAAACAAAAGCAACCGGTAGCTAGTGACTACTTCGAAGTGGAAACAAATTTTAAATGGAAATACCTTTGCCTACAGATTTGTGGGAGTAAAGAAGCAAATTCTATGCTACTGCGTTTCTCTCCTTTCGGAGAACTGATGTCATTGGAAATTGGTCCTTCCACAGTAGCAGTTAAGCCTAGGGACTCTGACCTTTTAATACCCAGGAGAAAGGGAGTTGATTAGGTCACCTTTTCTGGAGTCACATATTATATTCTCATTTTAGAGTGTTTCATTGCTTTAAGTTTCGATATTGTGATCTAAAAAAATTTATATTTAACTTATGCTAATTTCATATGTATTAACATACATTTCTAAATTCATATAATAGGGATGATCAGAACATCTCTACTTGGTAAAGAATGCTGGGGAAGTATTTGTCAGTTATAGAACAATACAAAAGGAGAGTGTTAGCACTAATGTGTATGTACTGGTTATCCAAAATTGTGGTAACACCTCTTTTGAATTGCAGAGTACAGTATGAAATGACCATACAAACACTGAACAAACCAACTGATTATCTTGTCAAGTCTAACACTGCAAATGAACTTGTGCAGCACACTAGAACATTTTTTTAAAGTTCAACATTTGTAATTAGCCTATTCTTGTCTTTACTATGTCACACAACTAATTTTTTTTTAACTTTAAGCTCCTTAAAAATAGAGACTGTTTCATTTTCTTTCTGCAGTTTCTGAATCAGTGCTGAACAGAGTGGGCTCAAAAATTCAAAATTTGAATACAGGCTATTTACACATATAAACTGTGTAAACGTACATTTAAATTTTTCATTTCCCAAATATGACCTCTGAAATGTTTGATAAAAGAACTTTTAAAAGATAAATAATTTTCATGAGCAATTGTTAAAGTGACCTCTTGGAATTAGATTTAGGTTGAATTTCTTTTTCTTTCCTACTTATTTAATGCATTGCTTTTTAAAACCAAAGTTAATGTAAAATTAGCCTTTCATCTCTATTGAAAAACATCCTCTCATCTTTATCATGGTTCTGACTTAGCATGCAAAATTGACTTTTACCTTTCAAAAGTGTGAATGCATTTAAAGATAGAAGTCTACTATGAAACCTCCTAGTCATGTATTCCAACTGTCCTATCACAAAGGAATTCTTATTTATGTCAAGCCATAGTTGCACACTTTTCATTTACCCAAAATACAAGTGATAGTATTTTTGCAATCAAGGTATGTAACATAGTAAGTCATATTAAGCACTAATGAAGCTCTCATTCTAAATTCATCACCTGGCATTAGCACCAGTTGTTAATTGAGTGTTGCGACTTGAAGCAAGCATTTATCAGTGGGATGTACACAGGTTTCTCCGCTATCTCAAAGTAGAGCTTTCCTACCAAATCTTTCATAGGCCCAAATAGTGGAAAGCAGAGTTATCCCCTCTTTCCAAAAGTTTGCATTATACTACTTGGCATTAAGGAAGTTCTGTAATGCCAGATCTGCAGGAATGAGAGTGTTGCTAAAAAGCTCAAAATGAAAAACAGATGAAATAAAACAGGGGCTCTGAAGAGCTTTTGTGATTTTGAGTTTCCCTCTTTAGTCTATCACTCTGTATAAAGTGAATAAAATAGTGTGCAAAATAATTTTTATGAAATGTGTATTTAGGTCATTTGAGTCAAGAGAAAGATGGAATAATATTTTCATGAACAAGACAGGATCTGGAAGTAAATTATCCCCCCCTCCATTTTTTCCTGAGAAAAAAATGACAGGAAGTATAGTAATTTAACAAAAAGTTAATTTTCAACTACTAATAAAATGACTTATTTTTACAGTAATAAACAGAAGGGAAAAATATCTTTCACATGAATACTACGATCAATTTTTGTGAATATGTTGATACATGTTGAAAACTCATGAAATGGGGGTTCTGTTGGCTCTGGTAAGTAAAATCATCTCTAAAATGAAATGATTGGTATAAAAAGATTACGCAATTGGGATATTAATTATTTTGCTATTTAAGGTGTGAGCTAAGCCAAATATTATTTCCAAGAGTTAAGTCACTTCTTAAAAGAATGAAAGAAAGGTGTGCCTAGGTGGCTCAGTTGGGTGTCAGGCTCAGGTCATGATCTCAGGGTTGTGAGATCAAGCCCCGCGTTGGGCTCCATGCTGGGAGTGGAGCCTGCTTAAGATTCTCTTCCTATTCCTTTGCCAACCACTCCCCCAACCCCCAGGTCGTGGGCACACTGTCTCTTTAAAAAAAAAAAAAATGAATGAAAGAAATACATTATGTAGTCTGCAATTACACATACCATATACTTTCAAAAGGGGGAAAGACCTGCATGGTCTCAAAAGATTATGGTTTTTTTTTTAATCTTTCAAATAAAAATGCACTGTTGTATATCCGAAATATAAAAAATGTGTTTGAAAAATGTTCCTAATACAGACTTCTAAAATCATGGTATTGTACTCAATAAGACGGAGCTCCAAAACTAAATATGGAGCATGCAATCTATATTCCCCAGTCCCATAGGTTTAAAGTCAAGAAAATATAGGTTATTTCTTATTAAGACACCTCCATTTTAACAAATTCAGTTTTGTGAATCAACACAACTCATGTGTTGTAATAAATACTGGGTGGTATCTATTATCTAGCAGGATTATTTTAATTATAATTAACTCAGGAAAAAAATTAAACAAGAAATTACAGGATAGTGGCAAAAGTCATATATAAAATACTCTGTTAAACAGCATTACACACCTTTCTTAGTAAAGTGCTATAATTTTATTTCAGAGGTATGTTTGCAGGATATCATTTAGCTTTTGCCCTAACTTTGGTCATATCGATCATAGGTAGCAAAACAAATTTATATATTTTAAGACCACCTCCTAAATTAAAATATATATATGTGTTGTTTATAAACTTCTAGATATGTTTGAGAAGTCTTTTTACTCTTTATTCAGGCTATCAGAGTAAAGAAATCATTTCATTTACTTCACAGCCAAGGAACCATATTAATATTGTCAACTCTGGGTGATTTATCTGAATTTGAGTTTCACTACTGTGGAATTTTTTTAATTAAAAAAAAAAAGGGCAGATTGATGCATTCATTACTTCACTTTTATGCTTCCTTTCTTTTTTATTTCAACCATATAATTTATTTTTCCATATGAGACAGGGTAGGACACATATTCTTCTTGGATATGTTATTGTTTATTGTTTCAAGTGAATGGAATAGATAAATCTCACTGAGTAGTTTAGTGTGACCCTGTATCTTATATAAACAGGTTAAATGAAGACGTTATTTTGTATTCTGTATATTCATGTATACCATAAATTGTCTTAATGACAAATGCAAAATTTCCTTTATTACTTGCCCCAAGTTAGCTGTTGATCCCTTTCACTGATAATATACAAGTGTAGAGAATAAGGAGCCTTTAAAATTGGGGGGGAAGAAAGATACTTTCCACTAAATTACTGAAAATTGGAATTTTTATGTTGACTCTTGATGACTGGAAAGCCAATGTTAAGAATCAATATATCCAATATAAAATAGTACATTGAATTATTTAATAATAAACAGTATAGTAAGAGCTTGTATATGTTGACTGGGAACCAGTGGTGGCTTTTTAAATTCTCAGAAAGACTAAACATCTTATGGTTAGAAGAACCACAGGTGATGATTAAGGTGCTCCGCTTCTCTGTAGCAGCCATTACAATAAAAATCTTTATAAGACATTATTTCACGATCAGCAAGAGAATTTTACTGTTATTA